CATTTAAACCAAGCAGTTCTTTAGTGTATTAACATCAGATTTTGTGTCACTTTTTTGTGTTAAGAGAATTAACACAAAATTACTTTGTTATACCCTTGCGGTAAATTATTTTCTTGCAGTGCAACCGTTCACAGAAGTAAAATATAGCAAAATATAATATAATAAGACAGAATAAAATAATAATAAGTCAAATGAGTACATGAAGAGATGAAGTTCAGAGTACAGATGCTTTGCAACATTAAAATAATTTAGGGTGGTATATACAGTATATCAGTATTTATAGCTGTATCTCACTCAAAGAGAAGGCAACAAATAGTTAGTCTTTGATGTGTTTGAAACTTTTTAAAACAAGTCTAAATCAAGTCAGCACATTAGAGCTTAAAGGTATAGTGGAGGAATTTCACAAATTTTTGAAAAGACCCTCCCTCCCCACTTAAAAAAAAAAATGCACATGCACAACCCTGTACCCGCTCCCGAGTGGGAAGGCCTGAGCCCATTTCTCCATGTGCACACTCTGTTTAAAAGTTGCTGTTTGCATTGCTTTTACAAGTTTACTTTGCTAAAGAAGATTTGTAATTTTTCCACTGTCAGACTCACCTCCAGTAAGTGAAAATGGGGACGAGCACGTAGGACGGCCTTACGAAAACATATCACCAGAATGATTGACAGTTGGGAGGACCCCTTATTTTGATGATTCACCTGGAAAAAGAACATCCTCCACTATACCTTTAAAGGAAACGAAAATTTGTATAGACCAAATAAGGCAGCTAAGGTCATATATGTTACAGGTATTAAAAAAAAAAAAGAAAAAAAAAAAGCCTAACTTTTCATATTTCTTCTTTGCAGATTTTGGCAAATCCCTCACATGAGTTCAATACAAGCTCCATCTATAAGAATGTAACGTTGGTGGCCTGGGATCCTGCACCTTACACTGTTAACTTACATAAGGTATGTACCCAGAGGAGGAGCAGAGGCAGCTCATTGCTGTTTATGCATTGGGGCTTTAAAGGAATATGAATGTTGAATGCTGTGATGCGTGAATAGCAAACTATAGAAAACTTAATGAACATATGATGAATCCAGTGTGACAAACAGACTTTATAGACATGTTGTTTTTCCCTGTCGCGCTGCCAAGGTCATGTCCAACATGATATCAGAGCTTATCTCTCTCCTGGTGGATCACACACTCTTTTCTTCAGTCTCCTGTCCATTGTGATTCTCTTCTGATCTCTGTGTCTTTGAAGATTTGTTTTCACTTGGTTGATGCATCAATTTCTCAACTCTAAAAAGGTGCTTTTTTTTATGATGAATATTAATGCATTTTGATTCAGACATTTGTGAAGTATCCTATAATGTTCTCAAAGGTATAATCCTTTAATTCCTTAGTTTTTAGTTGTATGCAAAACTACTGCTGTCATTATGGAAACTGCAGCTCATTTTATTCTTCTTTATGTGGTATAGTCCTTTGGAAAATATCAGAATTAAAAGTAGGGCTGCAGCTGGCGATTATTTTGTTCACCAGTAAATCTTCCCATTTATTTTTCTAATGTATTGATTAATAATGTTGTAATGAAAGATTCCAAAAAAAAAAAAAAAAAATTACAGAATTTATCACTGTGGAGTTTCTTAGAGCATATTTACAGAAATCTTTTTAACTTTAGAGTGAAGTCATTGATATTTTGTACGTTTTTGGCTTCATTTCTGCTCTTAGTTTGTTCCTTTAGCTCAAAGTATGTTTGTGAGTCTTTACTCAACTCATCAATAATAGTTCAAAACTGAAATAGTTAACGATTATTTCTAATAATTAAATGTTATTAATCAGTTACGGATTTCAGCAGTAGTCAAGGTCTGAAGCAGAAGGTCAGACTGCTAAGAAACCCCGAAATCTGTGTTAGCCTGGAAAAGCCTGCTCAGTCATTTCTATTTCTCAGTCTAGGATCCCTCCCAATTTCTGATTTGAAATTGTATTGATTTGCATTCCTGCTGTAGGTTGTTTGCAATGTTGTTTTTGACAGCCATCTTAGATTTTGTTGTAGTTTTCCCCTTCAGGATGAAAACTATTCTTAGTCTTAGTCACGCATTAGTCATTACGATATGTGATAGTTTTAGTCGGTTTTAGTCGAATAAAACTCAAAAATGTTTTAGTCTAGTTTTAGTCAGTTTTATGTTGCACTTCAATAAAACAGCTAACCTTTACGATTTTGAATACCGACCAGATTCTTTACCAGACTGACAGCTCTTGCTGAGATACTACAGTTGCTGGAGACACAATGCTGTCATTCAGTTCATCTTTGATGTTGGGCAGAAAACTTATAGAAATTTATAGAATAAAAAAAAATAAATTAAATTTCAATATGTTTACTAAAATGCTGAAATATTCAAATAGATGGAAAAAAGAACTATGAGAGAGAAATATTCAAAGATCTACTTACCTTTTCATCTGGGTCTTTATCCCAACATAAACAGAATGCAATTTAATATTTGCTTTGGATATAATTTACGGATTCCTATAGGTAGAAATAAAATAAGTTTTTGCATCACCGCTTGTTAACTTCTTATACAATTGTAATAGTAAGAAAAAAGTATTTTTTAGGTTTGGCAGAGGATGATCTGCCCCAATTAGTTTATTATGGAGCTAGGGCAGGAAGAGCCATACAGCTGAGAGCGAGCCATCAGTGTGGAGTGTGAAGCGCAGACTCTGAGCTAAGAGGGCCAAGACACATTTCTGCACAAGCATAGCTGGAGGAGCAGAGTTTTTTTAGAGTACTGCGTGCAGTACTGGACGATCCGGGTTATTTTCACCCCTTCCACTGCTGCCATGGTCCATCTGTGGTCATGCAGAATGTGCACCACTGCACACCAGGTACTGCTTAGCTTGTCTAACAGATTACAGCACAATGATGCATTTCAAACATCTGACGGACCAGCCGCTACCATTTTTATTTAGTCTTGTCTCGCTAACGAAAGCTCAAATCCATGAGTTGTCATATTTTCGTCATGAAAAATCCATCTTTAGCTTGTCAGTTTTCGTTATCGTTATGAAAAATATTATTTTGTCATGGTTGATGGGGAAAAAAACACTGGTGCTCTGCTTCTTCAGTATAATTTTGGAGTAACACAAAATTAACACACCCTGAATTAGCTTTTTGGTTTTTCATCAAGTGTTTTTTTTTCAACAGGAGCAACTATTTTCCTCTTTGTGCTTTAGTGTTTTCCCATAATGTCCACCTAAAGCAAAACCCCGATTAAATTCAATGGTGTTAACCACCGACACAACACAAAGTTGAATAAAAAGGCAAATAAGTTAACTTTTTTCAAGCTGTGTTAAGTGTTGTTCTGAGGCATCTTCATGAAATATCACCTCCTCTTCGACATGCTAAAAGGCTTCTAAGACTGATGAGGTTTTTGTAAAGAGTACGATACTTGGCGAGCCCTTTAACCCTCATCCCCTCAGAGTTGCGTTCTATACTGTTGTCAAGTGGTGACAATAATTAAAGTCTGAAGTTATAAAAATAAAAAATGGTTCTTCAGTTTAGTTTCCTGCACCTTGAAAAGCCATTATGTTGCCTTTCCGTTCTTGTTCATTTGTTACGTATATTCTTGTTCCAGTCTTTTCAATCCTTTTAGCTTGTGCTTCATGGTCAAATCATTTGAGTTTGCCTCTATTGAAAGTTTATATTTCTCCTTTGCAGCATCTCATTTACAGCGGCTTCCTTGTTTTTCCCCAAGGACATTAGATCACTATCATGAAAACCTCTATTGAGTATTAGTGATGTACATGAAATTATAGGTCATTTTTTGTCTCCTGTTGGAGAACTTTATGTTTTTTGTTCTGGTTCCTGTTTTTTTTGTTTTTGTTGTTGTGGAACTTTAAGCAATTTAAAAAGAAAATTATTTTCAAATTTCTGCTATTTACCACACTTTTTTATATGTAGAACGTTTTCTCTGACATTTAATGCCAAACTCGAAAACTAAATGTTAAATCTATATCTAAATATATCGATATTTCTTAATTTCTTAGTACTTCTTTCTATAATATCCTTCTAATCTTAAATGTATATCTAAATCTATATCTGACATCTATATCATACATCTAAATGTATATCTTAAATCTAAATCTTATGTGTTGATTAGATTCTGAGTTTAGTTACCTGATTGAAATGACCTGTTCTGAAACTGAAACTTGTAAGGTAGGTATCACAGGTAGAACCACTCCTGCTTGCCACTCAGGTTAGGACAGCTATTCTTTCTGGAAATGAAGTATTTTAAAGTATGTGCACCACTTCCCTAATTTTAGTGAAGATGTGGGCAGCAGCATTCTGGGTCATATAATAATATAGGTCATATTGCAGGTATATAGAATAATACAAATATTTTTCTATGTTTTTTTTTTTTTTATCTCTGCTCAATGAAAAACAGCTTATTAAGCAACTCTATTAAATATTAATTAATCACTACATACAGGTGGTATATTTCTGTGGCAATATAAAATACAATGCTCATTATAACTTAATGTTTCTATACCAGTGTGTTTAAGGGTAGCAATACAAGACGAAATATAAACATTAAATTCATGCAGCCTTTGTTAAGCGTATCTCACACGAAGAACCAATCCATCCTTGGGCATTACACCTCTAGGTCGCTGTGCGTTTTTTTTTTTATGTTAAAAATGTTCTTTATATTTGAACTAAGAACTGCCCCACGGGCCTCATGACAAACAGAGTTGGGCTGTGTCCGAACTTCCGCCCTAACAACTATATAAACCGCTAAACAGTGGTCATGCCATTTTATGAGTCTCTGAATGTCTAGTGATGAAAAAATAGTAGGCTAAAAATGTCCCCAATGCAGCTTGAAAAGTGGTGTGCATCCACTAGGTGAGCAGATATATCCCAGAATGCTTTGCAAGAGCTCTTCTCACAAAGAATCATGGGATTTGTTTTGGCGGCAAAAAAGCACATAGGGTTAGGCCGTGTAGGGAGGGGAGATACGTGACCAACAGGGAGAGAAAAGTAGTGATCATCTGTCCGAATGGTCAATTAACTGAGTCCACTATGTTGTCCCCGTTCCATATAAGGTTTGAGTAATTTAGGGTTTAGGACGGACTTCCGAAACGGTCATGGATTATGTACAACCCTTTGAGAAAAAAGTGTAACATTAAGGAAAAAAATTGCAGTTATTAATTCTGCAAATGCAAAATACAGATGCAAAAATGTTCAATATGCAGCGCAACACAACAACTCTGAACACGAAAATAAATCAACATAAAATAATAATCCAAATGCACCAATTAATCAGTGTTGTCGCGTGATTGATTTCTGAAACAATTTCACTAATTAGGGCTTGGTTTGTGGAGGTCTTGTTTTATCATTATGTTCTCAGCAAGGTAGAGAAAAGTGTTTTGTTTATTGTTTAAATAGATGAAGTTGTACCAATATTAGATGAAATGTGTGTCAGCAGTTCAGAGCTTGATGGATGCATCTCTAGTTTCTTCAATCCAGTCAACTCCCACTGCATCTTATAAAGGCCGCTCTATGTGTAATATGGATTTCTTATGCAGTTAAAACCAAGGCTAGAGTAAAAAACGATTGTGATGATCTTTTCTAATTTAAAGCCTGTGTCTAAGATTTTTACAGTGGCGCACCATCCAATGGTGAGCTAAATCAATTACAATCCACCTTACCTGTCCAGCAGAAAGGTTGCAATTGCTGCATCTGTTTTGAACACTCCTTTATGAATTGTCTCCCACCATGTAAAATCTATGCCAATATGGACTCTCATTTTATCCTGTTTCGTCACAAAGACGAGAAACGCTTGTCCTGTTTTGGCAATTGTAGTCACATGGTGACGAGACCAATATGTCACCCTCCGTTGTGTGGACATATGTATTTTTGACTTCTTAATTCAAAGCTACTTTTCAATTCAGTTTATTTATATAGCACCAATTCACAACACATGTCATCCCAAGGCACTTTATAGAGACAATTCATCCAGATCATAGTCAAATTGATTCAAAGTTTTCTATCTAAAGAAAACAAGCTGATTGCATCGACTCATTGACTACGTAGAAGGTAATCCCTCACACTAAGCTTGCTTGTAGCAAAAGTGGAGAGGAAAACTCCCTTTTAACTGGAAGAAACCTCCAGCAGAACGAGGCTCAGTGTGAACGGCCATCTGCCGAGGCCAACTGGTAGAGACAAGCAGAGACAAGCAGACCTACAGAAAGAAAATGAGATATCAATAGGTAACTGTCAACCAGCTCCACAGGTGTTCCCGTCCTGGGAATGTGCAACCAAGCAGATGAGCTTCAAGCCAACTCCCATGTCAGAGGATAAAGGAGTGCACACACAGTTAGTCACAGTCTGAGAAACAGGACTACACTAGGCCGTTGATGGCAGCAGCACAGCTGATATTTCCCTCCAGGATGGTGTCACAGCCAAACAGGAACAGAGTAGATGAAGCTAATGTGAGAAAAAGCAAAGAGAGCGTGATGTTAGTGATTGAACATATTTTGCAGAATGGGAGAAAAGAGATATAATGTAGCAGAATGATGAAAAAGGGGTCCCTATGTCCTCCAGCAGTCTAAGCCTATAGCAGCATAACCATGGAGATAGTTCTGGAAAACCTGAGCTACTCTAACTTTAAGCTTTACTAGAACGCCTTTATTCAAAATGATATGTTATTAGACTTTGGAAGAACCTGTATTTATAAAAACAATACTCGATTTTCACTAATTAAAGGCTACATAACTCATACATTGTCCCTTTTAAGTACTTTTTATTTTCTTTGTTGACTTAATTAAATTTGTCAATTTGAGACAAACAGACATGTCACCCATATAAAAACAATTCTAAGATAATAATACAGCTTTCTTTATTTTACCTGAAGTTCACGTTTACTTGTATGTTATGCTAAAAACATCTTTATGGACATGATTAGATCAGGAATGTTTTGTTGTATAATGGAAATGAAATCAACTTTATACCCGCACATATGCGGGACTATTGTTTAAGAGATTTATGTTTATATCCTCCAGATGTATATTAATATACATATTAATTGTGATTAGTGTCTAGTTATTTTTTCTGATTTGGAACAACCTATTTAAAAAGCTGCAGTGAGTTACTCCAGGTTTTCTAGAAGGGATGGTTCTAGTTCTTCCTCATCCAATTCGCATGGAAGCAGCATTGTATCTTAATTTTAACTGAGAGTTTCTGTTTTAAGTCTCTCTCTTTCAAAATTTGTATAATATTAATCTCCAAGGTAAACAAACATATCTGCGCATTAATTAAACATTACACACTAACACAGGAAAAACGGATAAATAAGAATTGAATATAACGCAGACAGAAATGTGACCTCAATATGTCAAAATTGATTCTCAGCCTTGTAGAGTGAAGTGACCACTGAAGAACCACATCTTCAGATGAAAATTAATATTCACAACCTCATGTTGTTTTGGCTCCAGTGGAAATATGAATGAAACATTGGGGCTGAAGATAAAGCAGAAGTGCCATTTCATTGTCAAGATAAAAGAAATGGTGTAGTGTTCTCTTGAGCGGTTAGAGATTGTCTGGCCTGTTTGATGAGTGTCTACTCATTACTTTTTATAAAGTTTCCCAGACTGGTAGTCATTTTAATTGGCTACCTAAAGATCATTTATTGACATATATTTACTCAAAATATAAGGAAAAAATAATTTCGCCATTTCAGATTAACTCTCTTCTACACACCCATAACATTTTTGTAATAAAAATAAGCTGAATACTCTGATAGTAATTGGAACAATACATTATACTATAATATTAGTGTTTTAACTATTTTTCTATGGAATATATAGTCTTACTTAGAGATTTGTTCAAAAGAATATTTTTTTTTCCACTAGAAGACTGAAAATTAAATGAGTTGCTGTGTAATTTCTGTCAGAATTGTATTATAATGCTTATATCAGTCTAAGCATCTTTTTGTTTTTACAAGCTGTACATACTATTTTTTTAGCAACTGTCCTTTACTAAATAATTTCCAGAAACAACAATCTGCAACCTAAACTCAAACAGAAATGATAAGATGTTTAATTAGCTTTGAATGTTTATATGGCTTTTACTAGAGGAAACATTGACTCAGTTCATCTGCTGTACTGAAGCTGCTGAAAACAATTAGCTGTCCAGCTAACCTCTTCAGAGATAATGTCCTGTATATCATAAAGGTAGTCAGAGAAATCTGATTAGTTTTTAATTAGTTAAATCGATAATTAAGATGTTATTATTTGGCAGCTTGTAACATCTGAATTTAGAGAACTTATGTAGTTCCCAATATGTAGGATGCACTAAACCTCATTATGAAAGAGTGCCTGTGCAATAAAAAGGTACCAAATGTAGCTGCATTATCTGTGCTCGTTTGTGATTTTAATACAAACCGCTTTAATTTTCTTCCCTCTGCTTTACTAGAAGCACCAAATGATGCAGTTCAAGGACCATAATAAAGATGGAACTTATAGTCAGTAATCAGCTATACTATAGTTTCCATGGTGATTGTATTCTTAAAGCGCTAATACTAAAACAAGTATGAAATTCTTTTTATAGTAGCTATTAAAACCTGGAGCAGTTTTGTTTTTCTTTAGAGACATTTTGCTTTTACTGAAAAATATTTCTAAAATAGCCTTTTTAGGAATAAAATATAATTTAATGAGCAGACTGACACCTCAGTAGTTTAGCCCCGATGCATCTATTAGCCTGTAGCTTATAGATACGTGTAGTTCGGGTCCGAACATAAAAGTGTGATATTCAAGATGAGTTTTGTTGTTATTTAGAAGCAAATGGCAAAGAGCTCAACTCGGATACCAGTGGTAACTCCACATAAGGTGATTAAGGTAATTTAAAAAAACCTGTGAAGTATGAGCACAAGCTATAACAAGCAGAGCAGAAGAGTGCTGCAATTCTGTGTTTTAGCCACAGGTGGCAGTATCATTAGAAAACTGCCTAATAACTCTTTAAATATTTTCTTTATCACTCCAACTAAGTTGTTATTATTTTTGGGGTTGTTTTTTCAGTGGTATGCCAGTCCAGACTACAACCTGTTTGGTCCATATGTAGATCACCGTAAGGCCCATCCTGACCAGCCCTTTTACATCCTTCACCCAAGCTACGTGTGGAGACTGTGGGATTTGATTCAGAGCAACACTCAGGAGAATATCCAGCCCAATCCCCCTTCATCTGGCTTCATAGGTGAGTACACGCACACCTTGCTAAATATAAATGCAGCATCCTTTACCACTTCTGCAGTCCTGCAGTGAGCTCTGCTGGACCTTGGCCAGAACCCCCACCCCCAAAAAACAGAGGACCAAAACACCCCACCTGTTCAGCCAGACCAAAAATTCCCTCCTAAAGCCCCTTTCAGAGGCATAGACGGGTATCAGGTATTTCAGGCTAACAAAGAACCCAAGTGACTCCCCATTCCTAAGGGGCGGACCCGTTCTTCAGGTTAAATTTGCATGTTTTCTAAGCCAAACCAAGGCTTTGTTTTGCTCCACTCTATAAAGCCTCAAACTCAATGCTAATTCTGACATTTTGAACTGAAAAAGCTTCCTTGAGGTGAAGCAAAACGTCTTTAAACTTTGAAACGAAGTCCAGATGATTGTTTTTTAACTTTTTTGGGAAAAGATAGGCCCATTCATTTTTAATGATTACAAGGACCAATCTTTTAAAAGCACAAAAATGATTTTAAAAAATAAATAGTTGTGGAAATGTTTTTTTAGTGGCTCGAATTCATATAAGAGAACTCTCAACATGTACTGAATATCTAAAAGTATTTGGTCACTTTTCCATTTACTTGCACAAGAACAATAATGCCATCCAAGTGTTTAATGAAATACTTTAATACGTAATTTAACTAAAATTTGCATCTCCTTTGCATCCACTCCACCCCACTAGTATTATATATGTGTTCTTGGTAAGTTTAACCATAGTTTGCGACTCTGTAAAGCCCAGTCCATTTCCTCCACTTCAAAATTGCTCATCCATCTCTTAACGAGCGTTTAAATCATCTAGTGCTTCGCATTGCTTAAGCTGAATTCAGCACCTTGTCTATAGAAACCTATTCCATGAAGCTCTTTAAATACTGTTTTTTATCTAATCTGAAGACAATGTTAAGTTTGGGAGTCTGCAAGAAAGTTGCCATAGTTATAAAACAAAACATTGATCCCCATCTATTTAATTATTATTGATCCAATTATATAGATGCAAACTGAAAACATCAGAAGATTTTTTTTAATTTAAAAAAAAAGCTTGAATCCTATAAGGGCTTAGAATAAAAATGCTCAGACAATTTCAAAAGTCTGTGACGGGCATTGAATGGAAATTTTGTCCTGATAGACTTTATTAAACATCGTCATCTACACGAATCGATATGACATTATATAATGATAAGGCAGGTGATTTACACCTTTACAAAATATCAATAGCTGATACCCCTGGTCTGTGATTTTTCTACTCTACAACTTAGTTACTGCCATTTAACATAGTGTCATTCTCATTTTACTGTGGAATATCTGTTATGAATAAAAATTCAATGGCCAAACTTCTTGCACAGGTGTCATTTTATCATAATGCCACACTGGATTTCACCATGCTCCTAAGAGTGCACAATGCTTTCACTGATGTTTGCAGAAGTCTGCAGGCCTAGGTGATGGATTTCTAAATACATTTAGCCCCACAGAGACTGCAGCACCTGAACTGAATAATTCAGAACTTTAAAGAAATACTTTTGAGGATAAAGTTAATGTAAATGTCATTCAGCAACTTATTTAACAAGGTTTCATGTTATGAGGCTTCCAGGACATCACACTGCTTTCCACCATATATGAAAACAGTTATTTTGTTTTTACGGTTTTCCCTGATCTGGGTGAATGTTAAGCCCAAACCTTATCCCAAAAACCTTACATGAATGTTTCAACATGCAGGTATTATTTATTTTTGTGCTGAGAAATGCAGATCAATATATCAGTTTGTAATGTAGCGGTTTAAGCATGCAGTATTTCTAGAATTGTGGCGTCTAGAAAACTGACATTGTGTTGTTCTCACATGTTGTTCTGCTCCTATACTTTAATTGCAAGAAAAAATTGCAATGTTTAAAAAAAGGTAACATGAGATTTGTCTTTTTGCATGGCAGGAAAGTTTATTAAAACAAAAAAATGTGAACAGTAAAGTACAACTCTTTTCAGATTGTCAAAATACACATCTGGCTTCTTGTTTTGTTTGTTTTTGTTACCAAAGCTGCAATCATTGTTTTTTCAGACTTCCTTCTAAATGTTTGGCTCTGTTAGTCTCTTCTGAGTCAGTGGCTGGATCTTCTTTCTTCTGGAGAAATGTGTAAACAAGGTCAAGATACAACAGAAACACATGTGTTGGAAGCTTGCACAACCACCTTATTCGCTCCTTAAGTGTGCTGCATCACAGCATAAGATATTTCGAACTCCCCCACAGATATCACATTTAGCTCCTCGTTTGGTCTTGTGTTTTTCACCGTGGAGCAGCGCAGCTTTCCTCCTAGGGCTGCGTGTCGGTAGAGAAGTGCTTTTTATTTTGCAATATTTAAATCTGTTAAACATGAACTTTAATGCAAAGCATTAGTGATTCATACAGTCTAGGCCATTCTATAGGAAGAATATTTAAAGACGAGACAAAGGAAAACATGCCGTCTAAATTTGCTAGGTTTAAGTCATTTACGAGATAAAAGACAGTGGAACATGTTTTTTAGTGACCTTTATGCTCTATGTAAAGTGAAAGCAACAAAAAGGCTGGAGAAAGTTTATCTGAATTTTTATTTTAAATGACTGCACCCTCGCAAAATGTAAAACTAAACTGCTACTTGTACAATAATAAACTGAAAGGCAACAAAAAAATAGCCTCAAGCTTTTGGTTTTTGGGGTACGACAGAGTATTAGGGCCTGTCTAGAGAATTTTATTTCAAAAACGAGAATAAAGTCATAACATTATCAGAATAAAGTTGCAATATTACTAGAATAAAATTGTAGCATTATGAGATCAAAGTCGTACATTTACGAGGATAAAGTCATAAAATTATGAGGATAAAGTTGAAAAATTACGAGAATTAAATCATCCAACCACAACCCAGTTCAGAAAGAAAGCGTTGAGCTTCGACCAGCGTTTGACTGCTTACCAGCACCACTAAACAGCAACCTGAGTCCACTTTGACATACTGAATTTTGATGCTGGTGTGCTGAAAGATTTCCTTATTCGTCAAACTGATGCCAAAGTATAACTTCACATGATCCTCGAAATTCCTCAGTTTAGAAAAGAAAGTGCTTCTAGTAAGTTGTCATAATATTACAACTTTATTCTCGTAATATTTCCACTCTAATCTCGTAATGTTATGACTTTATTCCCATAATTTTATGTCTTAATTCTCGTTGCTACTTTTTTCTCGTAATTTTATACTTAATTCTCGTTACGACTTTATTCTCGTAATTTTATCACTTTATTCTAGTAATTTTATGACTTTATTCTCGTGCGACTTTATTCTCGTAATTTTATTATTTTATTCTCATAATATTACAACTTTAATCTCGTAGTATTTTCACTTTAATCTCGTAATGTTATGACTTTATTCCCATAATTTTATGACTTAATTCTCGTTGTGACCTTATTCTCGTCATTTTATTACTTTATTCTAATAATTTTATTACTTTATTCTAGTTCAACTTTATTCTTGTAATTTTATTTCTTTATTCTCATGATATTACAACTTTACTCTAGAATTTAAAAGATGTATAGCTACCCTGGCCCTAATTCTATGTCCTATTGGGGGGGAATTTTTCAGTAAAAGAAACACAAAGCAATATTTAGTGTTTTAAGTCTAGGGCATTGCGTGTTTCAGAGAACGCAGTTTTATTCAAAATAGGAGTCTGTATGAATAGTTTTCAAATTATGGCAATTTGAAAACTATTCACCCAGAAATTTATCCTGCAATTAGAGGGTTTCTGGTTCCAACTACAACTCCACCCATCTGCCGTTGTGCAAGACACTTTGCCTGCATTTCCTAGTGATGGTGGGCCTGGTTGCACCTGTGTACAGCAGCTTTGCCTTATTTGGCGAGCCCCAGGGCAGCTATGGCTACATTCTAGCTCACCACCCTCAGTAAGTGAAAGAATGGATGAGTGACTGAATGTAGTGTAAAATGCTTTCAAGTCCACTAGCTTAAAAACATAGATTTTTTTGAAATATTGAGATATTCATTTGCCAATATTTGTATTGATTCAAAATACAGCCAAATTTGATCTTAAATGTAAAAAGTATTTATAGAAAAACATCCGTGTAATTTTCTTACCTTGTTATAACTCTTAAACCTCCAGCAGCCAGTTGGCAGCTGTAGCAGAGGAAAAGCAAGATTTCGTGAGATTTTCTAGAATTGTATTATTATAAAAATCTATCATGTATATAATCTATAGTCTTTGTTAATATATTGGGATGCATTGGATTAAATCGTATCATTATATGTACATACTACATAAATTCTTGCCATTTCACACCCCTAATAATAAAGGTTAAATAAACAAAGACTATTTAATATTACTCTACAGGACTTAAGCAGCTTTACAATGTGTATACAGATGACAAGAGAGATGGGTTATGTTTAAGAGCTCAGTGAAAGATGGAATAGTAGGATGAGAATACTGATTAAACGGAGAAATACATGTAGGATTTGTTGGTTTTTATTGGCTCTTGATGTGGAAGTTTTTCATACACCATAATTCAGCAACAAGCAACATTTCAGGTTTTTTTTTTTTTTTTACATGACAAGAATATAAGAAAGTTCATACAATACATTGCAGCGAAATAAGAAAGAAATGTCAAGAAAAACGGTATGACAGACCTAAATAATTATTTGGTTAAAAGGTTGAATAGATCAGTCAAATGAAAGTCTAAGCAAATTGGTCTTAAAACCTAATTTAGAATAATTCAGCATTTAAGTTATTGAATAGCTTTGGTATTTTGTTCCAAATGAGTGTAGCATAATAGCTGAATGCTGCCTCTCCATGTTTTGTTATGATTCTTAGACTGTAGACTGCATCAGAAGAGCAGAGTGATCTGGTGCAGAGTCGATTCCAGCAAATCCTTATATTTTATTTGACAACCCTCTCAATGATGCAGTTATCCCTGTAGAGGGAGCACCTTTAACTTCCACCCCAAATTCATTGAGTATACTC